CTGCGGTGGCAATTCGGCGGGAGGTCCTTCACTCCCAGGCGGAGTGAGGGACCGTCCGCTGAATTGCCGCCGAATACCTGGACGTGCTGCCCCTCTCCGGAGCGGCCGCCCCAAGCACCTGCTTGAGAAGCTGGTGCCTGGAGCCGGCCCTGACAACACCATGTTTCACAGAGGTAGACAGTTAAGTCAGTTACTTGTCTATGGTCTTGCAAGAAGTCATTGGCAGAGCCCAGCATAGAACCCAGGAGTTCTAGTTCTCAGGCTTGGGGTTGAACCATTAGACCATGTTTCCTACCCACACACTTAATTGGACTCCTCTCCCTCCATCCCCATCCCCATCCCCATCCATTAGTTAAGGTCCTTGAATGATCCAGATCAGATTGTGCAAACTCTTCAGAAATCTGGGCTTCAGCCCCAAGACACAAGACTGATTCTTATGATCACGCCTGTAAACAAGCATGAGCCCCACACCACTCTGAACTTGGTACAGGCACACACCCAGTGGGTTATGATCCAAATTTAATCCCTTCCTGGAAGTTTGCCTTGATCTTACCTTTGGTACAAAGCATTGAGGCAGGATTGCACTTGTAAATGTAAACTTTAGCCTGAGCTCACTGTTCCTAGGGTTTCTCCTTGCAGGTCCTCCTGTCCCTGTCTCTAGCTTTTTCCTGTTACATAGAAGCTCTCTAGCCTCTGTGCATTGGGTCTGGTGTGGCCCATCTGATCTGCCTGCCAGGGTGAATCAGCAGAACAGCTCTCCATCTTCCCACATACTCCTAAAGCCAGTCTCATCACTATCGAAATTCAGCCTTCACCATCAGTTAATGTAGTTCTTCATAAAATTGCCTCTGCATATCCCAGTTCAATGGAGTCACTTGCTGTGCTTCAGTGTTCCACTCAGGAAAGATCTGCAGAAACAACTTATTTGTAGAACGCTAGCATTGGTAAGTAATCTTTTTTTCCCTTTGTGGTAATATTTGTCAAATGTTATCTTTTTAATGGCTTCTACCGTTGTATGACATTAAATCAAATTAGCCAATAAAGATTATATGACGTCTCTATTTTATCTGCGACAAGGGTTAAAGATAAACCCTTCCTGGGATTGTGTGATTGTTCTGTTGAAAGCACGGTATTTTTATAAGACACAGATGCCTCTTACCTGTGTGCTTTTTTTTTATTTGCTGGGCTGGTTATGATTTTATGACAGGAAATTCTTGAATGTTTGTGCTAGGGGGACACACCATGTGATTTTGATTGTAATGTAGAAAGTCTTTTATGTGTAGAATTTTATGAAGGTGTAACAAGAGAATTCTCTTGTACCTTCCATACTGGCCTAATTTCTTATAAAGGAAGTGTTTATGTCCTGGAGGGTTTTGTATACGTTTTAACTAGGAATAAATCCAGCATGTTCATTTCACCATAAAATACTTGCTTCAGCACTGACTGATTCTTAGGAATAACCATAAACACGTTTATATAGAGGCACTGTTATTATATTATTGATATAGCAAAGCTTGGTGTAAAAAATGTTCCCTGGGAAGAGCTGGTGATTGTAGTGTATTTTGGGGGGACTCTGTTCAAGATTTGCAGGGCTCAGAATGTGACCTTTTCTTCTTCATTCTTCCATGTGTTTTTGTTTTGTTTTAACTAAATGCTTCATTTGCTCTCTCTTTCTCTTTCTCTTTTTAAAGTACACCTCTAACTCGATATAACGCTGTCCTCAGGAGCCAAAATATCTTACCACGTTATAGGTGAAACCGCGTTATATTGAACTTGCTTTGATTCACTGGAGTGCGCAGCCCCCCTCTCCCCCCCCTCGGAGCACTGCTTTACTGTGTTATATCCGAATTCGTGTTATATTGGGTTGTGTTATATCGAGGTAGCGATGTATTTAGAATCATAGAAATGTAGGGCTGGAAGGAACCTGAAGAGCTCATCAAGTCCAGCCCCCTGCACTGAGGCAGGACCCAGTAAACTTAGACCATCCCTGACAGGCGTTTTTCCAACTTGTTCTTAAAAACCTCCAGTGATGGGGATTCCACAACTTCCCTTGGAAGCCTGTTCCAGAGCTTAACTCCATTATAGTTAGTTTTTCCTACTATCTAACCTAAATCTCCATTGCTGCAAATTAAGCTCAATACTTCTTGTCCGACTTAAATGCCAGGAGCTCATGTCTTAGGATAACATGTTACCATGCCCTACAGTACCAATCCAGTGTGTGCCATGTGCAACAGCAATCTAATGTGTGCGACCCAGCACTTATAAACAACGCTACCATAACAATCCCGGCTAAGATTTAAAAAAATAGAAGCCTAGAAGTAGTCTCCCAAATCCACATTGAGGCACCTATTTAAACAATCTGATTTTTTTTTAACAGGGCTGAGCATCCAACAGCGTATTGAATGCATTAGTGTAAGGCACTTAGCAGGAAGACCACTTCAAAGCTTCAGCAGGCATCCTGCATGTGCAGTGGGGTTGACTAGAAAGCACCGTACTCCCGTGCCATATAAACTGCATTTGAACTTCCGTTTAAATTTGGGGTGCATTTCAAGGTGATCCATGGAGCCCCGTGTACTTTGGTCCCTTTCTGTCTTTCTTCCCCCCCTTGCACTACTGTGGTCATTGCGATCGGTTAATGCAGTCTCGCTGATAGTCCTACATTTGCATATCAGCACGCTCGGAAGTAACCGAGGGGCCATAACTTGATAATTCTCTTTGCTTGTTGGTCCAGCTGAGCCCAAAACTATTAACCTTCAAAGCTCATTGGTTGTTCAGGCTTTTGTCTTGAATGTGGGAAGTGAGTTGTGTTTATATCTAGTTGTTAGGTGGGGAGTGAGTTTTGGTTAGCTTTTGTCATACACTGTGTATCGCTTGGATTTGTACATGCACGCACAGAGTTTGGGATTGGCGCATGATTAAATATGGACAAAGAGCAATTATTTTATTTTATTTATTTTAGGGAGGTTTTACCTTTCTTGGGGTTATTTTTTCCTCTTTAATGAGATGGATTGTTAAAATATGTTAATTCGACACATGGGGAAGGGTGAGGAAATACATTGAGAAGTTGAATAAACATCTCCTATGCAGGAATAAATCCAAGTATTAGACAGAAACAAGAACTCCCTCTCCCCAATCTAACCTCCTCCCACATCACAGATACATGAGATCTGGGTCCTTTCTGTAAGCAGACGTCTGATCTTAAGTATTACTTAAAGTTTGTAAAGTGCTTTGAAGATTCTAAGTGACAGATATCATTCTGGTCTTTTAATCTCCTAACTCTTATTTAGAAGTTGAAATCTTGATTAGGGTGGCTGATTATGTAGAGCTACATGTCAGTGATAAAACCAAATAAAAAACTGCCACTATTACTGGACGAAATCCTTAAATCCCTGAATTGTTAATCAGTCCTTATTCCCTGAAGACAGTGTGAATTTTGTCTGAGTAAGGACCTGATAATTTGGCTCACAGAGATCCAACATTTGATTGCATTTTCAATTTAAAACACACAGAGTTCTATATTTCTTTAAAGGTATATTTCTAGTTACACCACTTGAGCTGCGGTTTGCTGTATTAGAGATGTTTGTGGAGCTGAAATGACATTTTTGTAGGATCCTGAAAAGTAACTGTTTAATAGTCTGTGAGGTTATCAACCTCATGTGATCTTAATCTTGTTGGAAAACTTATTAAGGTCTGATCCTGCAACCTTTACTTACATGAGTAATCCTACTCACTATTTTAGGCTTATTTGTGGAGTAAATATTATTCATGTAAGACTTTGCCTTTATTTTCTCTTACTTTAACCTATTCCTTCAAAGAGTTAACTTTCTAAGCCGCCGCAGATTAGTTCTCTTCGTTGTTTTAATTATTTTTCTCATCACGCACAGTGCAGGTCTAGGGTTTGTGAATTTTTTTTGTCCTCTCTCCACTGCTGTTTCAAATATGCTGGCATTGAAAGCTAAATTGAAATGCTGCCTATTTGCCATCTTATTTTGGCAGATCTTCACCTTTCTCACATTTTAATATGATAGATTTTTATTGCTTTTCTTCAGCATAGCTTGGGCATGCCACAATTTTACATTTCTAAAATGCATGCATGGCACTCTTAAGCAGCTACTCACTGCCAGTGTGCTTTCATGTGCTTGCTACTGACTAATTTCCTTTTCTGTAGTTGACAGGTGACTCAGAGTAAAAGCTGGCAGATGGCTATATCATTAGAATGTGGCCAGAGCCTTCTGAGATGAGTTTTGGAATTTTCATCAAAGTGGGAATTAGATTCAGGATATACCAGTGGCACACAGCACACCGTGGGAGTGTAAAATAAGAGGAAATACTTCACAACGAGTCATCTTTTGGTTGGATGATTCAGGGGTCTGCTGTTGGTGGTCAAAAAGACACGTGGCTGACTACAGAGTCTTTGTATGCGATTCAGAATGCAATCTGTCTCTAAAAATTAATTCCACCATTCTGATTCTTGTCCAGTGAATCATTTCCAGAAATGAATAGCTGCAGTTGCTGGAATGGATATTGTGAAATTCCCTTCATTTACAACGGACGGGTTTTGAAATGATGACTTATCGGGCAAATTTTTTCAGGATTAGAATTAAAACTGCTTTAAAATAAGTACATATGTCCTCGTGTATTTTTATGAGAGACAGCAAAAGCCTCCCAGTTTCCAAACGATGAAGGACTATCTGAAAGAGCTAGTTCTTGGAATAGTAGATCTGTTGGCACTAGCTGGTGATTTCCTGTGCATTTCCTGCAAGAAATGTTCTGTGATGTGAGTAGGTGGTAGTTAAGAGGTTGTTACGAAACCAGTTTTCAACCAGACGTCTTGAGTCGTGAATTGGAAAAAGGGATAGAGCTTGAGTGTTGTCTCTTTGTTTGAGCAGGGCAGTTGTAATGCACATGCTGTATATTCTGTGTTTCTGTGGAGCAAGAAATATTTGGAATATATCTAATATTCCTCTATGTATTTTTCTTTATGTCGCTCCACTTTATAGTTGAAACATGAGACTGTGAGCTAAGACAACTGGAAGCAGCGGGCATGGTGGAAAAAGGAGGATTTTCCTGAATGTATCTTTAACTGTAAGTATTTTTTGATAGTTTTCCCCAGTCATGAGAGGCAAAATGGAGTTTCATCAATGACTAACGTCTGTGCCAAAACAAGATGGTTATTTGGAGCGCATTGGTTCTGTTCAGAAAGCAGATGGGCTACCAGCAACAGGAGGCAGTAGGCTTTTCCACCAGAAAAAGGGCATTTCAGGGAATTGCTCTGGCTCCCAAACTGTAGGAATTGTTGACCTACTGACTCAGTTATGAAGAATTGGGAAAACAGCCTTATTGTGGTTTCCTTTGTTGATGGCAGATTCAGAAGACATATTTGATCATGTGAATGTGGCTAGCAGAAGAGAGGTGGCTTTAGTTCAGGTTGCATTCTGGATTTGTTTTGTGCCTGCAAGGAGCTGAATTCCTGATCGCTGGAGAAGATCTAACCATATTTGCACTGGTTCTACTCATGACAGTACAGTGGTAAGTTTAATGCATTTCTCATTTTCATTGGGTCACTGATCCCCTCTTTACTAAACTTGTCATTCTTGAAAAAAAAAGGCTGTAAGTACAACCGCACTAAAGAAACATAGCACAGGTGGTATTGACCTTTATTCTGGATTGGAATATTTTGGAAGCTAAATGAACATATGCTTCAATGCTTTGGATCAACTTTTACAGGGAAGACCAACTGGCGTCCCAGAGTTTGAGGGTATTTGATCTGGGGCCAAACTTTGAGGCCAAACTTTGAACCATATTATTACTCTTTAGGCTGTTGTTTAGTGTTGATTAAACTATTCTCTAGTGGTCATGGTAACCAGTAGAAGGGACGGCTGAGTATTCCATCCATCAGGCTTGGAATAGATATTCTCATAAAGTAGCCATCGTTCCTCTTTCCAACGTATTGCAGATTAACTGAAGCGCATGCATTAATCCTTTTGAATTAGATATCAAAAACTGATGCCCCTGTATGGACGTCAAAACCTGATGATACTTTTCATAATAGTAGGATATGCCCCATGGGCTGTGGTTGTTAAGTATTTCAGTAAGTTCCAACATAGACATTAACAATTAATGGTTTATTATATAAGCATTAATACTGTTGGCTAACAAAGGGACAGTATATTCTAATAGATAGAGCAGGGGGTGAGAATCAAACTTCCTGAGTTCTGTTACTGACTCTGCCACTGTTTCTGTTAGTGATGTTGGGCAAGTTATTTACTCTTAGTTACCCCATCACTAAAATGGGAATAATGATGCTTATTCGGCTTTCCTACCGTGCTTTGATATCTACCAGTCCTAAGTATTATATTTTCTTTCTGCACAGAAAGTTGATTTTCTGATACACAAAACATTTGTAGCATTTTAATATATAGAAAACTGTTTACAAGTGTAAACTAATAAGTAGTACATTACAGGGTGATAGGGCTAAGCATGGAAGTGATATTTACGCTATCTCGTTTCTTGGAGTGTTGTTGTGGGCATGTTGGTTTCAGGATATTAGAAAGACACGATGGGTGAGGTAATATCTTTTATTGAACCAACTTTTGTTAGTGAAAGAGACAAGCATTCAATCTTATACAGGTCTGGGAAAGGTACTTAGGCGTTGGCTACACTGGCGCTGTACAGCGCTGCAACTTGCTGCGCTCAGGGGTGTGAAACCCCCCCCCTTCCCCCCCCCCCC